CCAGAGACAGCTTCAACCTAAGAAGAGTGCAGGAATGGAGTTAGTGACAGTGTCTGGACAGTGTCTGGGTGAGAACAATCCTTATTATTTCAAGTACTACCCTGAGAAGTATATTCAGAAAAGAGATTCATAATTATTTTCAAAGTGGCAGTATCCTAATCACTGGAGTAAAATGCTAAACTTTTAAAAATGGAAGGAAGGAAGTACAGGAATAAAATAGTAATTTTATTAAAAATATAAAAAATTGGATTTTTAGATTGGACAAACATTGGCTCTGGATAGGCGTTTTTAAAATGCTGAAACCTATATAAAAACTGAACATAATATTCATTTTGGGAATATACCAAATATACCAGTAAAGTCTGATAGAGAGGACAAGAAACAGTGAAAACTAAGTTAAGATCGCACCTGCTGTCAAATGTAGACACTACAAATCCCCAAGGTTCTGATAAGACCTGGTTTACGGAGAACTAAAAGTGAGAAATAAGAGAATTTTATTATTAAAAGACCCCTGAAAGCCATAAAATAAGACAACTGGCAGAGGGATTTATGAAGATTTTACCCTTGCATTATTTAAAAGAACAGATTGATTAATTTTGGGACATTGGATTTTTTGCTTGAAAAGTGGCTTTGGTTTGAATAAAGGATTGTTAGACAATTGGACAGAAAGAAATAAAATAAACAAAAACAAAGATGAGTGAAATTTGCAAAGAAATTATATTGGAAATTCAGGATATGAAAGATACTTTGACAAGAAGATGTGAGGACATTTTGAATAAAATACAGAGCATGGACATACATCTGAAAAGTGAGATATAAATGACAAAAAGAAAACAGGAGGTCCAGGAAGAGAAGGAGCCAACTGAAATAATAGTCAGAAAAACAGAACAGGTAAAACAACAAGCAAAAAAATGACAAAAAGGAAATAAAAATGAAAATGATAATGACTGATGAAATAAACCAAGGGGAGAGTATTTTAAGGAAAGTTAAACAGGAATTGGAATTGCAGAGAGAATTTCTTGGGAGAAAGACGGGAAAGAGTAGATAACTTCAAAATGAGACAATGGAACATAGTAGAGAAGGGAGGAATGTTTAAGAGGAATGGTCAAGAAGTGACAGATAGAGATGAAAACTTAAGAGAGGAAGATGGGAGACATGTTAAGAAACAAATAACTAAAGCTTTAATGCAAGTGAGAGATGATGGTTAAAAAAAGATCATGATTCCACAGAAATGTGTATATTATTAGTTAAGATATATAATTGTTAAATGTAATAAATATGTTTATTTTATTATAGGAAAAGGAATGATATGTGAAATTTGATTGATATACAAAATAATATAGTGAAATATTGTATAATATAATAAAAGATTACAATTTAATAAAAGCAATTGCACCATCATTAGAATTGCATAATTTGTTAAACGTAAATATAATGAATACTATTTTATTTATATCAAAATGTGACTAGAAAGGGAAATTTTAAAGAGACAAAGAATTTATTCAAAAATTTAGAAAAGAATAAGAATTATTTTTAATGAGAACATTAGACAACATACATCAATACAAAACCTCTGGGACACCATGAAAGCCTACATACACGGAATTATAATATCATATACAGCAAAAAGAAACAAAGAGAGGTGGAAACAACAGAATGTACTACAAGAAGAAATTAAAAATTTAGAAACCCAATTACAGAAAACACCACAAAACACTAAATTTAAAGAACAATTGACTTTAACTAAACACAAACTCAACATATTAGAACAAGAAAAAATGGTGAAGAACTTAAAAGCAGTTAAACTAAACTTTTTTGAGCAAGCAAATAAACCAGGAAGATGGCTATCTCATAGATTAAAAAGAGGGAGAGAGAAAAGGATAATACATCAACTTCAAGATGAGAATGGAGAATACCAACACACCATGGAAGGGGGAAAAATTGCATACCAATACTTTGAGGATTTGTATAAAAATGAAGAAGTAGATGAAGATAAGATAAGAGAGTATTTGAAAGAGGAAAGGAGTCCACAACAAAATAATTGAAACAAGCAATTAAAAATCAGAAAAATAATAAAACCCCAGGTCCAGACGGACTTCCAGGGGCAATATACAAGATGATGGATGAACAGATAGAACCACTGATGCTAGATTTATACAACAAGGTTCTGACAGAAGCCAAAATGCCAGATTCATGGAGGGAAACATATATTTCGCTAATACCAAAGGAGGGCACAGATGATAGACAAATTCAAAACTATAGACCAATATCATTATTGAACCCTGACTATAAAATATTTACAACCATAATAGGAAATAGATTGAAAAGATTATTAAATGAATATATTCACTCTGATCAAAACGGATTTCTGCCATTAAGGCAAATTGGGAATAATACAAGGATAGTGTTGGACATCTTGGAATACTATGAGGCACACCCAGAGAAAAAAGTGGTGCTTGTTTTTCTGGATATGCAGAAGGCATTCGATAATCTAAATTGGAAATTTATGATGCAACAAATTCAAAATATGAAATTAGGAGACAAATTTGAGAATATAATAAAGACGATATACTCTACCCAAAAAGCGAACATCATGTTAAATGGCGAAAATACCCAGAGTTTCAAAATAAGTAAAGGAGTAAGGCAGGGCTGTCCTTTGTCATCTCTGCTCTATCTTGTCGCTACAAAGTCTTTTAATAAGAATTAGACAGAATAGGGATATAAAAGGAGCTGAAGTCAAAAAGGAGAATATAAACTACAAGCCTTTGCGGATGACCTGGTATTTATTATTGAAGACCCCATAGAAACAGGAAACTAAACTGCTAACCAAGAATTTGACAGAACAACAGAAAAAAGAACTGAAAAGAGTAATGGGGTTACAAACGACAAAGAAAATCAAATACCTAGATATATGTTAACCGCAAAATGCACACCAATAAAAGAAAATAATTATATGAAACTCCTACAAGAAACAAAGACAGATTTGGAACTATGGGGTAAGCTACAATTATCACTATTAGGAAGAATAGCAGTGATTAAAATGACTATTTTACCCAAATTTTTGTATTTATTTCAAACAATCCCTATAAAATTAGAGAATTCTTTTTAAAGAGATAAATAAAATTATGGCAAAATTGATGTGGCTAGGGAAAAAACTCAGAATAAAAATGAAAGCCTTACAAGACAGTAGAAGCAGAGGTGGCCTTGGACTGCCAGATTGGGGGCTTTATTATAAAGCAGCACCATTAATTTGGACTAAAGAATGGGTTAATTTAAATAATAAGTGAATACTAAGTTTGGAGGGCCACGACCTACAAAAAGGATGACATTCCTTTTTGTGGGAAAAAGGAACCAAGAAACAAACATACTTTCATAGGCATTTGATTAGAGATTCATTGTTACAAAACTGGATTAAAATTAGAAAGAGACACTATATTAAAATTCCGATCTGGTTATCCACAGTGGAATCTATGATACACCCCAATAATTTGGACCTATGCAAAATGACAAAATTTAAAGATGTCCTAGATGAAAAGGGGAAATTAAAATTGAATCAAGATCTCCAAAAACAAGGGATATGTATTGATTGGTGGCCATATCTCCAATTGCAAAATAGACATAAAAAGATATAGAAGAATGTGGAATATATACTGAACTACAACAATTGGATAAAATTCTAACAGGCCCAAATGAAAAAAATATTACAAAAAATTATACATACTTATTAGAAGTAGAGCTAGAAGAAGAAATTGTTAAGGGATGTATGATAGCATGGGCCAAAGTCATAGGACATAATATAAATTTAACAGAATGAGAAAGTATTTGGAATCAAAATTATCAATCAACAAGATCCTCAGCATAAAAAGAAAATATATGCAAGATGTTCTATCGATGGCACCTACCTCCAACAAGACTGGCTAAAATATATCCCAACATGAATCCGGCATGCTGGAAATGTAGAAAGAAACAGGGTACCTTCTATTACACACGGTAGTCCTGCCCAGAGGCTCAAAGATATTGGATTAAAATAAAATAATGGTTACAAGAAATTGTTAAAGAACAAATAGAGCTGGATCCAGAATTATTTATGTTAGGAATATTTAAAAAGAAACATGAAAAAAATTGTATTACATATATTAACGGCGGCTATGCACAATGTTGGAAGCACAATAGTATTCCCTCCTGATGAACTGGTCATTCAAAAAATCATGGATTGTGTTGAAATGGACAAATTGACCCTAATGTTAAAAGATAAAGAAGAGTCTGATTACTATAAAATTTGGGATATGTGGTACAATTGGCTGGAATCTAGACAGATAGAAAATAAGGGAACTTAAGACAAGCAATCTATAGATAAATGTATATAATCGCATAACAATGTATATAATTGTAAATGTGCACAAAAGATAAATATGGACAAGATAGATGCTACAGTATGGTTAATGTTATGATTAACTTTTTTGTTTTTAAAAGAAGTAAAAGAATAATAAAGTTTATTTAAAAAAAGACTGGTCCTTTGCCAAAGGACCAAAATAATAGATTTGGTTCTTATTGAGGTAAAGAACAATAGGCACACAAAAGTACTATTTAACTGGATTCCATAGCTTTCTTCTATTTTAAAATTCTTTCCCTCATAACTCACCTAGTATAGGTGTTAGAAACTATTTCAGAACATATTTATCAGAACATAGAAAAATAGAGTTGGAAGGGAATTTGGAGGTCATCTAGTCCAACCCCCTGGAGTACCTAAAACTTCTGATTGTCTATTCTATATTAATATATAATAAATAGAACATTAATATTCTATTTCTCTAAGCTTCACTCTTCCACTAAAGAGTTATATTGAAGTATATTATGGTATAACATGTATAATCATCACTACTACGCTGACTTTTATTTTGTGGTAATCTTTTAAAAATTTCTCAATACTTTTTTATGCTAATATTGATTTGAAAAGACATAACATGGTTAAAGCAGACACAGTCAATGGTGGCACTTACCAAAAACAGTTCTGGCAGGAACAGACTCTTTATTAATCCAAAATGACACCTGGGAGAGAATCACAGTCATGATGCACGGAATATACGTCTGTATCATAAAATATCCCATTTTCCTTCGGAGATGGAAGTGTACTGTCATGACCACATATTCACCTAAAAAAAGCCAAAAACCAAAAATACTTTATATATCTTAATCAACCAACCCCACCCCACCCCGCCATCAAAACAGTGAATCACAGAACCAGTTGGCGTCGCGGCAGGAAGTGCTGAAAATAGCAGAGCTCCACTGAGCTCCATGAAAACCAACTGGTATCTGTGTCTCAGGAGGCTCTACGGGGTCAAAGCTGCCCTGGAGCGGTGGTGAAGGAAGGAAAGGTGCTTCAGTGATCACAAGGAAACTTCAATTTCCTTGTTAGGTCCGAAGAAGACGACAGCCATTTTTGGTAAGTCACAAGCTGTGACAACTGGGACAATAAGATTTGTGCTGGAACATTTTGTGGACAGAGCATTGAAATTGGGTGAGACAACTTCCAACTTTTATTATAGAGATTTAACCCAAATAAAAGAATTTTTTTAAAAATAATCTCCAAATGTTAAGAAAGTGGTGATTGGATACATGGAGAAAGATTAAAGACTCAGATATGAAAGAAATATCTAAGGGAAGCTTCAAAATATAGAAAGTCTGGAAGAAGATTTAATAACATCTTGAAAAGTGATAATTGAGAGAAACTGCTTTTTTTACCTTTATTTCTAACTCCCACCCCATTGGTTCACAATCAGCTGTTTTTGTATGCTGTTTAAGGTTGGATTTGGAGCAAGGGAGCCATCCACTGGAGAAAGAAGATTATACAGATATTAGACCCTGCTTTGAATTTGACCTGCTGTCATCCTTTTCAATAAAGAATTCTTTTTGAAACACCCAGTGTTCAAAAGTTCATTCTTATCGTCTGAAGGGGAGAGAGTCTGGTCTTTACATAAAACAGGGTCTGAAATAGTGGTCAACCTGGAGAGGGAAAAAATTTTCTCCTTCCAAAATTTCACTCTACTGAGGGGACCCTGCAAAAATGTCTGAACCTAGCAACGAACAAGGGGAAGCCAAATGCTGGGGAGAAACTTCGACAACTACCCAGCCAGACACGGGCTTTGTGTGCACCATCGAAGACATTGAAGCTGCCCATGAAAATTCCACAAAGCCCCAATGGTCTATAGCAGGGGTGGGCAAACTTTTTGGCTCTGGGGCCTCATTGACTTTTAAAATTTGACAGACGGGCCGCCACCTGGTGTCGAAATGCCTGTCATTACAAGTCAAAATCAAATGAATGCAATCATTCAATCATTCACATCAAACCTTAATTCTGTACCAATCTTCGGCGGGCCGGATTAAAAAGACCAACGGGCCGGATGTGGCCCGCAGGCCGTAGTTTGCCCACCCCTGGTCTATAGGCATAGGAAAGAGAGACAGCTGGGATGGAAGAGCCAAGGGAGTAACCCTCACCTGTGGTAACTGTAAACCCAGGTGGAAAGTGGAACTGGAAGCCCTTTCCAATCAGGAAGAGCAGATCGAGGAGCCGCTGGCAGATAACCAACTGAAACAGTACATAAGTCCCCTTGTGAGGAAAGCCCTGGAGAACCTCAATGTGTGAGATGAACCAGTTGAAGGAGAGTGAGCGAGCCAGAAATTGAAAGAACCCGAGCTGTAATCCCTGTTCCAGCTGAAACTAATCGAGCAATGGACCAAGCCAGAGGAGCCACAGCCATGCCAGGTATCCCGGTGATGATGATGCACGCAACAGGTCAGAAGCTTCCAAAACTCCTAAGTACTTTACCCCTCTCCTGGTGTTACTGCTTTTATCAACTCTTCATTATTAAGTTTGAATCCATTATTTTCAACTATTTTTCCTGCCTTGACAGCAATTGTTACACATTTGTCAATGCCAAATTGCATTGCTGAATGCCACTGCTGAACTCAGTGCTTTACAACAGTGAGTTCAATTCAGCTTTTGTTTTTCCAAACAATTTTAAATAATCCATGTAGAGCAAATGGGAAAATAATAATATCACAGTCATCAAAAACAGATATCACAGTCATCAAAAATTGAAGCGTACAATTTATTGATATCACTGTACCAGGAGAAAAAAAAAACTAGAAAAAAGCATGAAATATCATGACCTAGCCATTGAAACTATGCAATTATGGATGAAACATGTGACAGTGATACTCATTGTCAGTGGGGCATTTGGCTCCATGTCCAAGAATTTTACAAAATACATCAAGAAATCACAACTTCCTGCAATAACACCAGCAGAACTGCAAAAACCTGTGCTACTCGGAACATCATACATTTTAAGAAGATACTTGGTTGATACCTAGGAGGTTGGCAGCAACCTGTATCAACCATCAGTGCCAGTCAACAATATTTGTGATACATTTTTAAATGTTCAGTTGACTGAGTTTCATGTTTAATAATAATAATAATAATAATAATAATAGATTTAATTTTCAATTTTATTCATAAGCTACATTTGTTGTAGAACATATGTCTTCAGTGACAGCCTAACAGGACAGAGATTGTCACTGTGCTAATAGGTCTTCTCATATCTCACCCAATCATTAAATATTTAAATGGTAAAATAACTACTATATTAAACTATAAATTCCAGAAAAGAATTAAAAAATAATAATCTTCAAATTTGTGGGAAATGAAATTGCATTGTTCAATTTACACAATCTAATTTTTGGCTGGATTATGTTGCAAATATTTCCAGTTTCATTCACTGTAAGCACTCAAAGCAAAACACAGATTGTGAATTAAACAGTCACAAACTGGTTCATTTTCCAAATATAGTTTTTCTATCTAAAACAAGAACAGAACCAATACAAAGCAGATTTTAATAAAAACCATCTAGTTTAAGAATATGGAAAGTGCCATGAACTAAGTCAGAGAATGTATATATATTTATATAGGTCTTAGTTCAATTTTGTCTAAATAAATTTCAACTCAGTAGTGCCTTGATAAAACTTAGTTCAGCACTATCTCTAAAACAAGAACAGAACCAATATCTCTGTTGACAACCGATAGCTTTTTATTATTTCCAATCTTTCCCAGCCAAAAACTGAATAATCTAGCATTTTCTGCATGCAGGATCCACACTTTACTATCAATCTTTATATTCTCTACAAGCATACTAAATAGATGTTTTTATAAACCAAGCTAGTATTTTTCATCTGTCTTTATAAATAATGTTAGCAGGTAGCAGCACAGATTTATGCAGCATGAAATATAAATGATACTCTATAGCTGTGGTGGTGAACCTATGCCATGTGTCCCAGAAGTGGCATGCAGAGCTATCTCTCCAAGCACGCGAGCCAGAGGTGCTATTCAGCCGGTTCGCACCTACTCAGGTGAACCGGTAACAAGAATTTGGCATGGGTCACCGAACTGGTAGCAACATCTAGCTGCCCACACGCCCAACCCGGTCGCCCAGTTTCCGCTCACTCGCTTGCCCCGCCCACCCGATGCTCGCTGCCCCAGTTTAAAGGAGGACGGCTCCCCCACCCTAGCCATGCATTTTCAAGCAGTCACTTGAAAACACATGACCGTGGGCGGAGCAGCGGTCCGTTAACCTGCAAAACTGTTCCAAGGCTGGATTCTTCATGGACACTAGAAGTATCACTTCCCCTTGTGAGTAAAAGGGCCTGGAGCGAGAGGGAAAGAACGCTGGGTGGGGGGGAATCCAGCCATGGGGAAGTTTGCAGGAGCTTCAAGTGCCAGTCCGTTTACCTGCAGAACTTCTCTAATGCTGGGTTCACTTCCCCTTGTGAGTAAGGTGCCTGGAGTGAGAGGGAATGAAGGCTGACAGGGGTGGGTGGGTGGGTGTGGGTGTGAGAGAGAGAGAGAGAGAAGAAAGAAAGAAAGAAAGAAAGAAAGAAAGAAAGAAAGAAAGAAAGAAAGA